CAAAGGGAACCCCATAAGGCTCTCAGCTGACTTCTCACAAGAAACACTACAGGCCAGAAGAGAATGGCATGAAGTAATCAAAGTCATGAAAAACAAGAATCAGAATCCAAGACTACTCTACCCAGCAAGGCTATCATTCAAAATAGAAGGTCAAATAAAGAGCTTCCCAGACAAAAGAAGGCTAAGGGAATACATTAGCACCAAATCAGCACTGCAAGAAATGTTAAAAGGACTGCTGTAATTAGCAGTAGAAATGGGAAGAAAAATAGGACCACACTAAACAAAAATGGCAATAAATAAGTACATATCAATAATCACCTTAAATGTAAATGGATTGATTGCTCCCATAAAAAGACACAGAGTAGCTGATTGGATAAGAAAGCATGACTCATCTATATGTTGTTTACAAGAGACACACCTCACAACAAAAGACTCACATAGGTTGCAAGTGAAGGTATGGAAAAAAATTTTCCAAGCAAATGGAAAGCAAAAAAAAGCTGTGGTAGCAATTCTCATATATCTGATAAAATAGATTTCAAAATGAAGACCATAACTAGAGACAAAGAAGGCCACTACATAATATTAAAGGATCTATCCAACAGGAAGATTTAACCTTCATAAACATATATGCACCCAATATAGGAGCACCAAAATATATTAAAAATCTTCTGAAGGACTTCCAAGGAGAAATCGACAACAATACAATCATAGCAGTGAACTTCAACACCCCGTTGACAGCACTGGATAGATCCTCTAGGCAAAAAATTAGCAAGGAAACAGAGACTCTAAATGAAGCACTAGACCAAATAGATTTAATAGATATCTACAGAGAATTACACCCCAAAACTACAGAATTCACATTCTTCTCAAGTGCACATGGGACATTCCCAAAGATAGACCACATCATAGGACACAAACTAAATCTCTACAAGTTCAAGAAGATTGAAATCATATCAAGCATCTTCTCAGATCACAATGGCATGAAACTAGAAGTCAATTGCAAGAAGAACATGCAAAGACATTTCAACACATGGAGGCTAAATAGCATGTTATTATACAATGAATGGGTCACCGAGGAGTCAGGGAAGAAATTAAAAACTTCTTGGAAACCAATGAAAATGAACACACAACAACACAAAATCTGTGGGATGCAGCGAAAGCAGTTCTGAGAGGGAAGGTCATAGCACTACAGGCCTACCTCAAAAAACAAGAAAAATTTCTAATTGACTGTCACAACTTAAAGAATTAGAAAGCAAACAAAAAGAAAACCCCAGAGCAACTAGAAGGAAGGAAATAGTAAAGATCAGAGCAGAAATAAATGACAGAGACCAAAAAAACAACTCAAAGGATCAATGAAACAAAGAGCTGGTTTTTCGAAAAGATAAACAAGATTGATGGACCCTTAGCTAGACTCACCAAGAAACAAAGAGAGAGAACCCAAATACACAAAATCAGAAATGAAAGAAGAGAAGTAACACCACCACGGAAATAAAAAAAAAAAAAAACGTTAACTACTACTATGAACAACTATATGGCAACAAATTCGACAATCTAAGCGAAATGGACAAATTTCTAGAAACACACAGTCTCCCAAAACTACTCCCAGAAGAGATAGAAAACTTGAACAGACCAATAACAACTAAGGAAATTGAAGAGGTAGTCAAGACTCTCACAGCAAACAAAAGCCCAGGCACAGATGGCTTCACGGGGGAGTTTTACCGAACATTCAAAAAAGAACTAACACCCATTCTCCTCAAACTATTTCAAAAAATTCAAGACCAAGGAAGACTTCCAAACATGTTCTATGAGGCCAGCATAATTCTAATTCCAAAACCAGAAAAAGACACTACGAAGAAAACTACAGGCCAATATCCCTGATGAACGTAGACGCCAAAATCCTAAACAAAATATTACCAAATCGGATCCAGAAATACATCAAAAACATTATTCACCATGACCAAGTGGAATTCATTCCAGGGATGCAAGGCTGGTACACTATTCACAAATCAATAAATGTGATACACCACATAAACAAAATGAAGAATAAAATCATGATCATATCAATAGATGCTGAAAAACCATTCGACAAAATCCAGCATCCATTTCTGATAAAAATGCTCAGCAATGTGGGAATAGAGGGATCATATCTCGACATAATAAAGGCCATATATGAAAGACCTACAGCCAACATCATACTCAATGGACAGAAACTAAAAACATTTCCATTAAGAACTGAAACAAGACAGGAATGTCCACTTTTGCCACTGTTATTTAACATTGTACTGGAAGTCTTAGCCACAGCAATCAGACATGAAGAATAAATAAAAAGGGATCCAAATTGGAAAGGAGGAAGTGAAACTGTCATTATTTGCAGATGACATGATATTATACATAGAAAACCCTAAAGACTCCATCAAAAATCTACTAGACTTAATAAATGAATTTGGCAAAGTAGCAGGATACAAAATTAACGTCAAAAAATCGACGGCATTCTTGTACACCAATGATGAACTCACAGAAAGAGAAACTGAAAAAACAATCCCATTTACCATCGCGCCAAAAAAATTACGATACCTAGGAATAAACTTAACAAAAGAAGTAAAGGACCTATTTGCAGAAAACTACAGGTCATTGAAAAAAGAAATAGAGGAAGATATAAAAAAGTGGAAGCACATACCCTGTTCATGAATTGGAAGAATTAACATCATTAAAATGTCCATACTACCCAAAGCAATCTATAGATTCAATGCAATCCCCATCAAAATACCAACGACATATTTCATAGAACTAGAACAAATACTTCAAAAGTTAATATGGAACCAAAAAAGACCCCGAATAGCCACAGCAATCTGGAAAAAGAAGAACAAAGTAGGTGGGATCACAATACCAGATATCAGGTTATACTACAAAGTGACTGTAACCAAAACAGCCTGGTACTGGCACAAGAACAGGCATATAGACCAGTGGAACAGATCTGAAAACCCAGAAATGGACCCAAGGCAATACGCTCAATTAATATTTGACAAAGGTGGCAAGACCATACAGTGGAGTAAAGACAGCCTCTTTAATAATAAATGGTGTTGGGAAAACTGGACAACTACATGCAAAAAAAATGAAACTAGACCATCAACTTACGCCATACACAAAAATAAACTCAAAATGTATAAAAGACTTAAATGTGACCCATGAATCCATAAAAATTCTAGAAGAAAATGTAGGCAACAAAATTTCGGACATCATACGGAGCAGAATTTTCACTGATACATCACCTAAGGCAACAGAAAGAAAGGAATAAATGAACACATGGGACTACATCAAACTAAAAAGCTTCTGCACAGCAAAAGAAACAATCATCAAAATAAAAAGGCAACCCACTGTATGGGAGAACATCATTGCCAATGATACATCAGATAAGGGGTTAATTTCCAATATATATAGAGTGCTCATACAACTCCACAAAAGGAAGACAAAGAACCCAATTAAAAAATGGGCAGAGGAGCTGAATAGACACCTCTCCAAACAGGACATACAAATGGCCAAGAGACATGAAGAAATGCTCAACATCACTAATCATCAGAGAGATGCAAATTAAAACAACAATGAGGTATCACCTCACACCGGTCAGAATGGGCGCCATCAACAAATCATCAAACAACAAGTGTTGGCGAGGGTGTGGAGAAAAGGGGACTCTAATACACTGCTGGTGGGAATGCAGACTGGTGCAGCCGCTGTGGAAAACAATATGGTGTTACCTCAAAAAATTAAAAATTGAACTTCCATTTGACCCAGTGATCCCACTGCTGGGAATATACCCTAAGAAGCCTGAAACACCAATCAGGAAGAATGTATGTACCCCCATGTTCATAGCAGCACTATTTACAATAGCTAAGATCTGGAAACAGCCCAAGTGTCCATCAGTAGACTAATGGATAAAAAAGCTGTGGTACATATACACAATGGAGTACTATGCAGTGGTAAGAAAGTAAGATCTCTTATCCTTTGAGACGACATGGAGGGACCTGGAAAGTATTATCCTAAGTGAAATAAGCCAATCAGAAAAAGACAAATACCACATGATCTCACTTATATACGGAATATAATGAACATAACAGTCTGAGGAATAGAGTAGATCCCAAAACATGGAAGTAGGGCACAGAGTGACATCCCTCAGAAGAGGGGGTGGTGAGGGTGGGAAGAGATAAACCACAGAACTTATATGCATGTATGCATGACCAATGGACATGGACAACTAAGCCGGAGACGGGGCGGGGGTAGAGTGGGGAGGGGAGTGCCAATGGGGTAAAAAAGGTAAAATATCTGTAACAAAAAAATAAAAATTAAAAAATAAATAAATAAATGGAAAAAAAAGAAGATAATATGATTAAAAATGTACTGTACATCTGTAATTTGTAATACTTTCAACAATAAAGATAAAATTTTAAAAATCAAAAAAAAAAAAAGAAACTCTCCTGGGAATATCTACTAGAAATGCATCTTCCAATAACATTACAGTTTAATACTATAATTCTTATCACAATACCATTCACTAGGTACTGTATATAAATTAGATCTTGGAATCTGAGCAAATACTAATATATTTGATCTTTTTTTTTTTATCCTCACCTGAGGACATTTTTTGGTATTTTGTTCAGATGGAGGGGGAGAGAGAGACAGAAAGAGAGAAACATTGATATGAAAAGGACACATGGAGTTGTTGCCACCTGCACAACGCAACCAGGGACCGGGGACAAACCGCAACCAAGGTACGCGCCCTTAGCGGGAACTGATCCCAGGTCTCTCTGGACTGCAGGCCGACGCTCTAACCACTGAGCAAAACCGGCTAGGGCTATATTTGACCTTTTTATTAGTTAACTGGTGAAGAAAGTTGTTTAAATAAGAGAAAGGACATTAAAATGAAAAAGAGAGTGTTGGGTAAATGGAAAGATCACAAACAAAATTTTACTTATTGCAGGGACAACTTAACAAATAAATATATTCACCTTTAACAATCTTCTTTGCACAGTCATTATACACTTGCTCTTGAGATGTGTTTGACTGGAATACCCGATCAAATGCATAAGGCTTGGTCTGAAAAACAAAAACAAAAGTTTCAACTACACAAATTAAAGGTGAATGGATTTCTAAGCTCCTTTAAAGGTATCACTGTACATTTATTTAACCTTCACAATAGAATATCTAGTACGTATCACTTCATGTCATAGAACCTTTGTGAAAAAGATCTTAGGGTTCACCAAGTACAAATCCACTTAAACTCTACAAAAACAAGAAAGTTTGTTTGAGTCTTTGTTGTATTTCCAGAGCCTAGCACAGTAATTCTAATTACTCTATTATGGTATACACTCAAATACTGTGAGTGAATTTTGATTTAATGAGCGTCTACTGTGGCAGGGATTGAGACTATATTTTCCATACTAATATCATTTTGCAGATAAGGAAACTAGAATCTTGAAAGGTATAAAAACTGTGACAATATTAAAATTCAAACCGAAATCTCCAGTCTTTCATCAGGGCTCTTTCCATTACTCCATTCAGCTCTACAGTTTACTGCAACAGCTTTTCACTCACTCATTCACTTAACAAATATTTATGGAATGCCCATAATGCTAGACACCATGCTACAATAATTAAGACAGATTTACTCTCTCTTTTAGGAACATAAGTAATTGTCAGGTTGTCATCTGACAAATAATTAAGTGACTAGAATTCTGACTCATGCAACACTGTTAATGAAAATATTATGAGCGTTTAACAGGAGAACTTGAGTCTGGAGGAAGACAGAAGAAATGTCAGGAAAACACTGGAGAAGGGATGTTGCAGAACTGAAGAATAAATAGTACTTAGCTCACTGCTGCTCTCTTCAAATTAGTCAAGAGAGAGAGTGAGTACGGTAAGTAGTACAGGCATCGGAAATAGGAGCTTAAAGATGCCAAAGCAGAAAGGAGCTTGTAGCATTCAAGAAACCAAATGACATAAAGTTTAAAGTACAAGAGGCAAAGATCAAATGCAAATGTCAACACAGTGAAAACGGTAACACTTTAGTGTTATTTTGAAAATAGTTATGACCTTGTGGGCACCCAGAAAACATCTTCGGGACTCCACCTTGGGGACCACATTTAGAAAGCTGTTGATGTAGTATGAGAAGGCGCAAGGGGTACAGAATGAAAAATCAGAGTACAGTGTCCACGCAAATCAAGGAGGAACTTTCAAGGAGGAAGCACTTGTGTCAAATATAGCTGTGAGGTCAAGGCAAAACTGAAAAGTATCCAATGATAAAGATCAGAGTGTAATGGGTTGGAAAAAAAAAGAAGATAACCACATAGATTTCTATCTGGCTGTGGATCTAAGAAAGATATTTTTTTTTGTTTTGTTTTGTTTTAATCCTCATCCGAGGACACTTTTCCATTTTTTTGTACAGACAGAGTGGGAGGGAGAGAGAGGAAGAGAGAGAGAGGGAAACATCGATGTGAAAGGGACACATCGAGTGGCTGCCACCCGCACGACCAACCAGGGCCGGGGACAAACTGCAACCGAGGTACGTGCCCTTAGCGGGAACCGAACCCGGGTCTCTCTGGACTGCAGGCGGACGCTCCAACCGCTGAGCCAAACCGGCCAGGGCTAAGAAAGATATTTTTTTAAGATGGGCAAGACCCGAGCAAGTTTCAGTGCTCAAAGGAATGATCTAGTAATCTAGGAAAGAAAGCAAGCATCTATAGATGAAAAGAGATAGGAAAGGGGGTTCCAGGTATTTGAAAGTATGTGTCTGCCTGTTATTTAGTTTTGTCTAAAGAAAAGGAAGGGACCTGGACCCTAAAATACAAAATAATCATGACCCTAGAGAAATTCCTTAACATTGTAGAATACTTCCTAGGTCTTATCTTAAAACAACCCCAAAACCTTACCTTTTTATCCCACAACTCTCTACTCAAAGCTTGGAATAACAGTAAGAATGAAGCAGACACTCCAAAAGGCTATATCTGAAGCCATCAGCAATTCTCCTACCCCTTACTACCCCACACTAGATAGGCTGTAAAGCTAACTATCTGCTAGCCTAGCCACATGACCCAGTTTTGAATACTAATATGTGATAGTTTGCTGAGAGGTCTTAGAGAAGAGTTTTGTTTTCCTGATTAAAAAAAAAAAAAGACCATTCTCAGCTGAGGCTGCCCTTTTTCCTTTCTGGAATAAATGTCTAGAGTTGTAACATCCATCTTGCAAACATGACAAAAATGAAGATGAAAAAATCAATAATTAAGGGAGACAAAAGATAAGAGTCAATAAGTAGTAGCAATAAAGGCCAATCTCCAGACTTATGAGAAAAATAACCTCTTCTTTATTTAAACCATTATTTATAGTTTGTTTTCACTCTGCAGTTGAAAGCATTTCTGATGGATATACTAAAATGACCAGCTCTGGCATCAATTGAAAGTAGGCATCTCAATGTCTGATTATTCTTTGGCTAAGACATATATAAAAATATCCTTTTGCTAAGATGCCACTGAGTCATTAACATTTAAACCTACGGGTATGGCTAAAAAAAAAGCCAATATATGGCTTTACTGATTATACAAGATGTATTCATAATAAACAATTCTGGAAACAAACACAAGAACATTCAAGATAACAATCACCACCCAGAAATAAGCCATGCTATTTTTCTATGCAAAAAGAAAATAATTTTCTCTATTTATCCAGCAAACATTTATTTAGCACCTATAAGGCATGAGATATTGTAAATGAGCAACAATTTTAGAAATGCTATTTCATTAGTAGACTATAGTGTTCAAAGAACAGAGGATAATAATAGTCTTAAATACTAAGCTAATATTTTATAAACTAGGACTTAATGTAAGTGATCCAGTAATGTTAAACGAATTGAAATGGAGATACTCTCTAGTCTTAAAGAACTTACATCCTGGTAAAGAGTCAAGAATAGATTACAACTAGCCAAAATATACATTTAATAACAGATATACTAAAAAAAGGTATGCAAGCAAAACTTAAACAATGATTAATTCTAACTTTGCTTGCAAGAAACAAGTTAATCAATAGAAAACATAAAAGTATGAAGACAACTGCAACCCTCCAAAATAAGTCAAATAACAAAATTTTATTAAAATAAACATTTAAAGAATAGAAAAAACACTACTAAACTTTTAAGTCCTTATCTCCATTTGTAAAAACAGTGCTTAGAAACCATTTAGAAAGAGATATGGTAAAAATAATAGGTAATAGTAAAGTCTGCCTTAGAAGTACACTATGCAGCTGTTTACTCTGGAACCACCATATAGCAAATATGCAAACTACCTCTACAACCTTATTAAAGTAGGACTATGAATATACAAACCAAAACAATCAAGCGAGGGCTGAGTGATCTGTTTAGAAGTTATATCCTTGTTAAATAAAAAATTTAACTTAGCCCTGGTCGATTTTGCTCAGCGGTTAGAGCAATGGCCCATGGACTGAAGGGTCGAGGGTTCGATTCCTGGTCCAGGGCATGTATCTGGGGTTGCAGGTTTGATCCCCGGCCCCAGATGGGGTCATGCAGGAAGCAGGCAACCAATTGAGGTGTCTCTCTCACACCAATGTTTCTTCTCTCTCTCTCCTTCCCTCCTTTCCACTCTCAAAGATCAACAAAAGCCCTGGCCAGTTTGGCTCAGCGGTTAGAGCATCTGCCTGCGGTCCAGAGAGACCAGGGTTCGGTTCCCGCTAAGGGCGCGTACCTTGGTTGCAATTTGTCCCCGACCCCGGTTGGTTGTGCGGGTGGCAACCACTTGATGTGTCCCTGTCACGTCAATGTTTCTCTCTCTCTCTCTCCTTCTCTCTCCCTCCCCCTCTATCTGAATAGAAAATGGAAAAATGTCCTCGGGTGAGGATAAAAAAAAAGATCAACAAAAAATTAACTTAAGTGTTTAGCATTAAGTCAATAAAACATCAACATTTTAATTCCAAAACTAAATTATAATTTTATTAAGGCAATTTTTTTTATTAGAGATCTAGCCATCATTCCTGGCTTTCTGGTATGAAAAACAAGACTCATGAAACATAAAACCTATTTCTAATCATCTATATATAATTAAGGCACATCTCCAAACTAATAATCTTTCAAATAAATTAAACAAAGGAAGCCTCAATATGTGAACATCTATATTTTGTTCTTTTCTTTTAAAAAATATATATTTTTGGCATCCATATTTTAAAACCTGGTTCTTGGCCTTGAACTGTGTATTATGCACTCTCTATTTCTATGTATCTTTAAAGTGACTTCAAGTCACAAGATTCATTGACATGTGACTTAGGCTTCAAGAGAACAAAATGAAATAAAAATGTTTATCTGAACTGTAACCATACCTTAGATTTCTTTCTTTTTTTTTAAATATATTTTTAAAATCCTCACCGGACGATACTTTTCTTTCCATTTTTATTGTCAGAGAGAGTGGGAGAGGGAGAGAGAGAGACAGAGAAACATCGATGGGAGAGACACATTGATTGGCTGCCTCCTGAATGACCCCGACCAGGGCTGGGGACAAACTTGCAACCGAGGTACATGGCCTTGGCCAGAATCAAACCTCGACTCTTTGGTCCTCAGGCTGACGTTCCAGCGCTGGGCCAAACCGCCCAGGGCCCTTAGTTTCTTAACTGAAGTGGTTCCTGTCTGAGTCTGATGAACAACAAATCAGGTAATTAGGGATACCCTCTGGCAGGGACATACCTCTCTCTGGAATTCTGAACAGTAATCATCAAATCACTTGAGATTATATGATACTAGATTTTCCTTAGTTTTGACATGGATTATGGGCTAACATCCCACAATGTAAAGGTATGTGATTATGGCTCCTTATTCTTTTTAAATTTTCACTGTTAAGGTAAACAGGATCAGCTCTGGGACAAGGAGCTCAGTTGGTTAGATAGTCCTCCTGATTTGCCAAAGTTTCAGTTTGATTCCCATTCAAGGCAACAAGACTCAACCAATGGGATGCATAAATGAGTGGAACAGCAAATCAATGTTTCTCTCTCTCCCCCTTCTTTTCTCTTGCTAAAAATCAATAAATTAAAAAAAAAAAAAGTAGCCTGGCCAGTGTGGCTCAGTGGATTGAGTGCCGTCCCATGGACTGAGAGGTCCTAGTTTAATCCAGGTTAGGGCACATGCTGGGGTTTTGAGCTCAATTCCCAGTAGGGGGCGTGCAGGAAGCAGCCTATTGATGTTTCTCTCTCACATCAATGTTTCTAATTCTCTCTCCTTTCCTCTCTAAAATAAATAAATACATACATAAAAACATTAAAATAAATAAATAAACAGGATCAAACACCAAATCATCTTTCACTTAAAAAAAGGAAATCCTATTGTGCTGATAACCTAATCCGGTTTATTTTGTACTTTCGGTGAAATACATAAAACAGCCTGTTTTTGGTTCTGGCAGCCTCTACAGTATACTACATAAGAAACAATGATTAGTAAAGACACTTAATGTAAACGTGAATGTTCCATTTTTTTTGTTGTTAATCCTTACCCGGGGATATTTTTTCCATTAATTTTTTTGAGCATGGGAGGGAGGGAGAGGGATTGGGGTGGGGGAGAAGAGAGGGAGAGGGAGGGAGAGAGACAGACAGACATAGATGTGAGAGACATCCATCTATTGCCTCCAGCATGCCACCCACTGGGACCGGGGATTGAACCTGTAACCCAGGTACGGTGCCCTTGACAGGGAATTGAACCTGAGACCCTTTGGTGTGCAGGCCAAGGCTCTAACCGTTAAACCACCAGGGCACTGTTCCATTTTTACATCACATAAAAATACAGGAGTAATTTTGTTGTATGGATTTTTTTCTGCTTTCAGCAGGCTAATGTGAACTTACATAAGGAGTTTCCCTTGTCCTCCCTTTTTCTGTGGTATCAAGTTTTCTTATTTAAAGCAAATAGGTTTTGCTTGTATCATTTCAAGGTTTTCATAAAATAACTCACTTATTTCATACAACATGTGATATTTATAGCACTCATCAAACTAAAAATATGAAAAACGGCAAAACAGAAACATGTTAAGATTACAAGATTTGTCTCTCATGATATTAAAAATAACTACTTGAGTAAAAGGAAGAAATTCTAGATAAAATATAGAAAACCAAACTTAGATGAAAATCAGAATCCTTAAAAATTATTTTCTACATGAGCACCTTATACTTATAATTCAGTAACATTATAAAGCAAAATATTTTATTCTTTAAACTTTGATTTAACTAGAAGACTGTAAATAAACTTTTAAAATCATGTTTAAAATAATTTAGTTTTAAATTCTGCATTGCAACAATTCCTTCTTAAACTATTTATTTTGAATCAGGATCAAGATCCAATAAAACAAACCATACAAACCAAGAGAAGATTTTATTTAGACTTTCTAATTTACTTTCCCCAACAGCCATTATACCTTCCCAAGCAACCTTTAGAAAATAAAATAACTCGTCCAGCTGGTGTGACTCACTGATAGAGCTTAGACCCATGCACCAAAAGGTTGCCAGTTCCATTCCCAGTCAGGGCACATGCCCAGGTTGTGGGCCCAATCCCCAGTGGGGGGCATTCAGGAGGCAGCCAATTGATGTTCTCTCTCATCGATGTTTCTCTCTCCCCCTCTCCTTTCCTCTCTCTCTCTAAAAATCAATAAAGAAAAAAGTATTTAAAAAATAAAAGAACTCATTTAAAAAAGTAAACAAAATGAAACCTCAAATTAATGACATACTACTATGTGCAAAATATTAGTTCCTGAAAATAATGAACTTAACAGGTTGCCTTACATTTCTAAAGGCTTTGTCACTCAATTGTAATGTACTTCTGCTTATACATTTTTAAAAACTAGACTAAAATGCCTGCCAGTTTACCTAAAGGCCAACTTAACTGTTCATCACTGTTTCACAGCTCAATCATCTATCCATTATCATTTAAATTTATTTACATTACTAAGTAAACATATAAGACACTTATAACTTTATCCAAAGGAAATCTAGCATAAATGTGTGCTTCCAGTCGTAGTTATGTACTTGTTTCAACTATTTCCTCATATTTTGTCATATTTGGGCTGCCTTCTAACCTAATCTTAATACATTCTGTGAATCCTATATTCTAATATTAAAAAAAAAAATCTTGGTAATACTTATAGATTTGTGTAAACACACACAAAAATTCTGGAAAAGACATTCTTAATACAAGTAAAAAAGGAAAATAGTTTTGATGTATCAAGCACTGTTGAGGCTGAGTAATCACAAAAACTTGATGAGAAACTAGCAGCCTCATTTTCACCAACTAACAACCCAGGCGTTGTAAGCCTCCTAATTCCATGTAAAATACATCATTCTAAAGGAGGATAACTACTTATATGCTTAACTTCTTGGCATCACTAGTATGTCATTTATAGCAAAAGTTTTTCTTGTGGACTTTGTTAACAAAAAAACCACCTTGCAGTCTTCACAGAAGTAGCTGGCAGTTGTTAGTAACCTAATGACTTGTTTGTCAAAAGCCTAACAAGCAACATGACCAACATTCATTCTCTAGACCTAAACTTTGGAAACTTTCATATAAAAACTCTAACTTGTCAATGCTTTTATTTTTTTTATTTTTTTATCCTCACCCGAGGTCACTTTTGGATATTTTGTTCAGATAGAGTGGGAAGGGGAGAGAGAGACATCGATGTGAAAGGGACACATCGAGTGGCTGCCACCCACAGGACCCACCCAGGGCCAGGGACAAACTGCAACAGAGGTACGTGCCCTTAGCCGGAACGAACCCACGTCTCTCTCGACCGCAGGCCAACGCTCTAACCGCTGAGGCAAACCGGCCAGGGCTAATTTGTCAATGCTTTTAATTATCACTGTCCTATGACCACTTTGTCCTATTTCCAAACTAAACTGTCCAAACAATATGCTAATTATGAAATGCTATTAGAAAAAATTAACATTAAAATTTTGTACCATAACAATGTAGAAAAAAGTTCTGCCACATGGCATTACCAAGAAAGATTTAATTTTTAGTTACACTGCTCTGTATGCAGTATCTTAGTATCCACTTTAACCTCCTTTACTTAACAATACCAGACATCAGACCTCAAAAAAAAAAGTTATCTTTTTAAATCAACCTTACATTCTGGTATCAGCATACTCTGTTATGTTATGTTTTATACCACAAAGGCACAATATTTCACCATCTTTGGGATTATCAAAATAACTTTCTTGAATGTCGATCTTAATTATAGAAGTAGGAAGCTAATACTAACATTAAATCTATTTACTGGTCAAATTTTATGTTTTAAAAACTTTCCTTTTATAATGCTCTGATAAACAAAAAGTTAACACTCTTAACCTAGACTGCTACCTGACAAAACCCAGTAAGAGTGAGATTATGGGTCTTTCTGGGCATTTGTTCGACCCAATCTGAAATGGCCCCATTTCCAACAAAATTGATCACTCTGATTTAAAAAGAAAATTCACTATTTCTTTTTATATAGTTATTAGGCCTTTTCAATTGTTAACAAAAGTTGAGTGGATAAACATCACCTGTAGTTTTTCTGGTATTTTTTTCCTCCTATGGCGGGGAAAGCAATACGGTTCAACACGTAGTTACATGTGTCTATAAAACTAAATGTCTTTACTATTTAAGATACAGTGGGGCTGGTCTCATAACGTCCCTCGCTAAATTTTAATCTTAGATATTTTACAAATGCAAAATTGGGGGTAGTCCAAAACCCCAAGAGCCATCAGCAACAGTAACTGCACACAGACACTCAACTTGCTCCCAGAACAGTTCCTCCAGCGCCCCAGGTGGGGGAGTGGCCCAGAGTGAGACCAGGCCGGCGCCAGCCATCTTCCGGCACAGGAGACCGGGTGGGGCGGTCCAGAAACAAACACCTGCGGAGCCAGGCCGTCTCCCGTCCTGGGTCAGCTGACCCGGCAAACTCCGAGGGTCGGGGACACCACTGCTCTACTTTCTGCACCACGCCACTTTCCTAAACTCCAGGCCCAGCCAGGCCCGCGACAGCGGGACAGCGGCAACTCACCGCAATCATGACCGTGTCTTCGCCCTGAAACTTGGCGATGTACTTATCGCCGCGGTTCACTTCAGACTCGTTGAGAGGTCTGAAGCGGCACATGACTTTGATATTGCACTCGGCCGGGTCCGCCATCTTCCTCGCTGCCGGGGGCGGAGGCCAGGAACCACTCCCCAACGCTTAAGTCTTGGAGGAAGCAAGCCCGAGCTGAGGATCTAGGGTCGCGATGGCCGAGAGAATCAGTCTGCGGTGTCCCGCTTTCCCCGGAGGGGGAAACCAGGGAACCAAGACTCGAAGCGCCGGCAGCCGTCGCCCTGAGGCTCACTTCCGATCCATCATGGCAGCCATGGCGGTGGCGGCGGCGGCGCCGGGTGGAGCGTCCGCGGCTCCTCAGCTTCCCCCTCACCAGCTTAGGCAGCCTTCAGGGCCTGGGGGATTCTGGAAACAAGGAAAGCGGTCCCCTCCTATCTCAGAGAAAGCAGGCCGTGCCCGCCGTTTCCCCGCCCGGCTGCCTACTAGCCTGCTTGCCGGCTGTACCCGTCACTCCTAAAGCTACAGACCCTAGACTCGGCAGCGGCAGCGGGATGGGCGGTGCGGAAGGGGCTCTGCGCAGGCGCGGAGGCCCCTGCGGCTCCTTGACCAATCAGTGCGGGCGCCAGGCCTCGCTGTAACTCTCGCTCAGCATCGCAGATTCAAGTTTTACTGGCTGCTCATTCCCCAAAGTTTAGTCACCTGGCTTGGGCCTCTGCTCCCAGTGGCGCCTGGATGCAGAAATAACCAGAGGAAAGGCGGATGCACTTACCTTTCATTAGGGAAGAATGGATTTGTGAAAATTGTTACAGGACTATGGAAAGCTAGGAAAATTCCAGGACAAGTGGAATAGGTAAACTGGGGCAGGTAAATTGAACAAAGCTAAAAAGCTTTGTAGGCTGCTTATAGCAGGACCTTATCTTGAGAATAAAGGGTTAAAACCTCTTTCTCATAAAAGAATGCTGGAGGGAAGGGAAGGAGAAGTGGAGGAGGGGAATCGTAAAATAACCAGAGCCCACTGAAGCTGTTAATTAGAACAGCAGGGAGGAAGGGAAAGAAGAGTACAGTCTTATTATGCCCCACTATTTAACAAAAGCCATGCGTTGGGATTTAATTACCAGATGCCTCCTATCAATTGTGGAAAAGCCATAAGAAAGAAAACTTTCAGAGTTAATCTGTACCAGGATGTCTAACAGAGGAATTTTTTAAAAATGTATAGACTGGAGGGTATATAAGGCAGAAACCCCTCACCCCACTCACTCTTCAGATTAGCTGAAAGGCCTTCTGAGCTTCATAAGCCAGATATATAGATTTGCTTGCCTTGCTTCATTAATAAATGTGCATGCATTGATTTATTTTTTAACCCACACCCCAGGATATTTTTTACGTTTATCTTCAGACAGAGTGGGAGGGAGGGAGAGAAAGAGAAACATCAACGTGAGAGAAGTACATCAATTGGTCGTTACCCACAGGACCCCAACTGGGCCGGGGAGGAACCTCAACCAAGGCATGTGCTCTTAGCCTGAATTGAACCCGGGGCTCCTTGGTCCACAGGCCAACGCTCTAACCGCTGAGCCAAACCTGCCAGGGCCATGCTTTGATTTTTTAAAAAAGTAAATTAATTTCATCACAATAGAAACAAAGTCTCTCGTATAAATTTATTTGTGTGAGAAGACAAGGATCAAGGTTGGGGACAGCCCTCTCCCCGACTCAGGGCTGCCTGGTAACACCTCTCTGGTGTCTGTGAGAGGTACTTGTCACAAACTATGTTGTCATTTGTTTATTTTGTTTTCATTTGTTTAAATAAAATACTATGTTCCAATAAGGAATGTTTCCTTTATCTTTGGTCTGCAGATAAAATTGAGTCCTAGCCCACCTTTTTAGAGCACATTGCCAGAAAAGGGAAGATTTGAATGAAGGATGGAACATGCTCTCTGGTTTAAGCAGTTGCTCTTCCCTGAAAGGGTAGGTTAGGGAGACAGGAATAAAAAAGACAAAGAAAATTTATTCTAAGGAATGAAGAAGGTTGCTGGAGAAATGTGGAAGAATAGGGTGAAATGGGAGAAGGCCCTCAATCAATTGTAGGTCCCTCTTCCACAGTAATAACCGAATGGAACTCAACAGTTTTAACACTAGAGGAATGACTAACTTGGAGCGTAGAGGTGGTTTCTAAGAGTCTGGATAAATTTGTGGGTTACATATCTAAGGGAAACCAGTCCATAGTTGATTTTGCCTCCTATTTTTAGAAAGAAAACATAATGGCTCTTTGCATAGAAGTGGCTCTGAGGTACTGAGTAAAGAGAACTGCAAAGATAATTAGAAACCCTTCCTCTGGTTCCCAGTTTCTGTTTGTAGGTTGAGACTATGAATATTTTCAATCCTCACTGCCCTTGCCCAATCATCCTAATATCTCCAAAACTAAAACCATTGTTCAACAGATTCTGGTTTGAACCACTGTGATAAGGGAAATGTCACACCAGAGGATCTGTGGGGCATTTGCTCAAACAAAGGTATCAGCCAGTGGTCATTGGTGCCAATTCAACACCAACAGGCTCAATCGGGTACAGTGAAGAAGGAAATGTTATTAAGTGCCAGCAGCTCAATGGCAATACAGCATGACTGAAAACAGCACTGCTATAGAGCAGCTCAATACAGATTGCAGCAAAAGTCAGTTTACAGTTGCTCATGTGGGAAATAATGCAACAATTAATAAACAATAATATAAGAATAAATTCACATATTCACAACTGTAAAACTACTTTTGCCACACTCTGTAGTGCTACAGTGCAGGAGAGGGGTCCCTGGCATCAAGCTCCCCTTGAGCTAGGCTCCACCCCTTGCCTGCTAGTCTGTCTCTTTTTCCCACTCCAAGTCGGTCCACACTCCCAAAGTCGCAAGCAGCTGACTTATATAGAGAGAGGTTCTCACCCTGACCCCTGATTGGTCAGAATAGAGCTGCTCTGACTGGATGGGGAAAACCTCAGCCCTATTAATTGAAATAGGATGCCAGGAACTTCTTTATAAGGGCTGCCTCTGATAGCAGAAATAGCTCAGGGAGATGTTTTAGCAGCTCAGGGGCAGACAGCCTTGTGCAGAGGCTTCTCTGCAAAGTGCTGCTAGGCTCTGCTCTTTTTCTTTCTTTCTTTTCTTTTTGAGCCAAGTTAGCTATCAGGACCACTTCTTAGTCCTCAGGATTCACAAAGGAAAAGATGAAGTTTTTATAGGGATTTGGGGGAAGTGTGGAGTTTAGGTAAAAAAAAATTTTTTTTTAATCCTCACTCGAGGATATTTTTTCATTTGTTGTTCAGATAGAGTGGGAGGGAGAGAGAGGAAGAGAAAGACAGAGAGAGAGAAACATCGACGTGAAAGGGACACATCGAATGGCTGCCACCTACACAACCCAACCAGGGCCGGAGACAAACTGCAACCAAGGTACATGCCCTTAGCAGGAACCGAACCTGGGTCTCTCTAAACCACAGACCAATGCTCTAACCGCTGAGCCAAACCGGCCAGGGCTAGTTCAGGTAAAATTTAAATGAAGCTGTTTTATGACAGTGTTAAAGAAAAAAACCCACAGCCCTGGCCCATGTAGCTTAGCTGGTTAGGTGCGGTTTGGTGTACTGAAAGCGGGCTTGATCCTAGTAGGGGGCGAGTAAGAGGTGGCCGATTCATGTTTTGCTCACACATAGATGTTTCTCTCTCCCTCCCTTATTCTGTCTATAAAAATCATTTTAAAAATATTTTTAATTAATTAATTTATTTTTGTTACAGATGTTTCTCTTTTTTCCCTCACTGATTCCCCCTCACCCTCCCTCCCCACCCTGTACCCACCTTTGTTGTCCATGTCCATTGTTCATACATACATGCATATAAGTTTCTATGGTCTTTCTCTCCCCCGCCATCCCCTCTGCTGGAGATGATCAGTCTGTACCCCACTTCCACGTCTCTGGGACTACCCGTTCCTCAGACTGTTATGTTTATTGTATTCCACAGATAAGTAAGATCATATAATACTTGTCTTTCTCTGCTTGGCTTGTTTCGCCTAGGATAATACTGTCCAGGTCCCTCCATGTCGTCACAAAGGATAAGTGATCTTTCTTTCTTACAGCTGTATAGTACTTCATTGTGTATATGTACCACAGCTTTTTTATCCATTCCTCTACTGGTGTGTGGGAGACCATTTGCATGGCATCCATCTTATTAGAGTCTGCTCTGCTGTCTCCGGCCCCAGGGTGGGGTTTCTCTGAATACAGTGTCTGCATTCTTCTAGATAATTGTTTACTCCATTCTTTGCTTATCATTGTTCCACCTGGGGTATTTACTGGAATTTGCTTCAGGTGGGATACTCATTAACTGTTTCACCTGTTTTCCCCCTATATAGTATGTGAACTCCCCCTGAATAAACAAGACTTGATCAGAATCCTGTCTTGTCTCCATTTCTCGTGTCTCTTGTCCCTCCTCATCCTCACTCCCCCTCTAGAGTCCTCGTTGCTCGACCTGTGGGACGGGTCAAGTGGCGCCCAATGTGGGGCTCCAGCACGGGGGATCCAGTGAAGGACGCCGTTCGAGTGGCTGGCAGAAAGGAAAAGAAAAGAGGGAACGACGTGGGAACCTGCTGCGTCTGCACCCCTCGGGTAAGTGAACGGCGATTATGGGTCAAGCATTGAGCCAAGATAAGATGTTCGTTGAAGGACTAGGAAAGGCTATAAAGGCACGAGGAGTAAAGGTAAAAATCAAGTATTTATGTCAGTATTTTGAATATGTTAAGGAAGTTTGCCCTTGGTTTCCTACAGAGGGAACTATAAATCAAAAACGGTGGAAAATAGTTGGTGATGCTCTTAGAGATTATTATAAGACTTATGGACCCGAGAAGGTCCCGGTAACTGCTTTTTCTTATTGGTATTTAATAGATGAGATTTTATCTCAGAGACATTCTGATCCTCTCATTGCCAATGTAGTAGAAAATTGGGAGGGTATATTACAGAAAGAAAAAAAAGGGAATGAAAATGAAAGTAAAGAATGTGAGGACTTCATGTCATTCGATAGTGATAATGAGGAAGAAGAAACCGAGCCCACTTGGAATAAAATTATGCCTAAAAGCGCTCATACGGGGAGACGAGAAAAACTAACAGAGAGAGAGGGTGGAGAATTCAAAAGAACAAAAACTAGTGTTGCCCCAGAGGAAATAATCAAATCCAAGACAAAGATTTGTCCCGACCTATCAGTATATTTGGAGATTGTTCCTGACGAAGGGGAGGTTAATTGGGATGAATTGGCGGATAAAGCTGCCAGATATCATAACTCTGATTGGCCGCCTGTTTCTCAACGCCCCCGGCCTTATAATAATAATCCCAATGCTCCCCCGCTGGCATGTCCAGTTCTTGACCCTAGAAAAGAACTTAGAGATAAAATTGAACACCTCAAAGGACAAATAAAACTGGAAAAAGAGCACCAAGATCTCATAACCCAATTAGAAGGACTAAAAATAGGAAAATCTAAAAGAGAGAGTGAAGTAAAACCAGAAACCCTTGGGAATCAAAAACCACCC